TATGAAGCTGCAGCAATGGTCGCTGAAAATTATCATTAGAAATATTTCAGAATATGTTTGTTAAGATGGTTAACACAAATCGTCACACGGTTCAGTAGGCACAACGTTAAAAAACTTGATAACGTAATAAAGTTACCTATACTTAGGTACACTGCGATTTATCGGTAGGGGTAACTTCCCAAGTCCCAACTCATGACTGTTTTTATCCTTCATGGCGTATGTATGTTTATCCTAAGTCCGTGTGATGATTTTTGCCAATCAGATAGCTAAATTGTTATTGACTTAATTGTTATTGACAAATAATATTGCTGTGGGGGAGTTAGTATGGTGTTGACAGCCAGGGACTGCACAACCGGGCATCTTCAATTGACCAGGAAATTCAATTGACTATTGACCAGAAAACTATCACCAACCACAAGCTAGCAATTTAGCAAAAAAAAAAATATGAAATAATGTCAGTGTCACTGCACTAGTCATATCAATCTGCTACCGCACAAAAGACGCCGAATTCCAGCGCCCGCGCCACAAAGAGCACCACGGTATGCTCATTTGAACGTAGCGCCGTTAAGAACGGATGTTCGGCGAAATCCAGTCAGCTGACTAATCTTATTAATTGTTTAAACGTCGCTGTATCACGTACAAATAAAATAAACTACAATAAGTTATTATGAAAAATAATGTTTTAATTCTTTTGGAATCAGAATGAACATTTATTCAAAGAAAATAAATGAAAAATTATAAACGATCTACACCATATCTAGTACCTACTAGAATCTAGCATAAACCTACCAAAAAATCATCCATATTTCATTCAATATACTAGAATCTGGTTCCTACTAGCTACTAGACGCGCCTTCCATATGTGACGTAAGCATGGCCAATGAGCGGACTTATGTAGGTGAAAGCATAATTAACGACCAAAAGTTGTAATAAAGGCCATTAAGATTAGAACTTTAACCGAGCAGTAAACCGAGTTACATAATGGATCCAGAGTATATGTGACCTCTCTCTCTCTCTCTCTCTCTCTCTCTCTCTCTCTCTCTCTCTCTCTCTCTCTCTCTCTCTCTCTCTCTCTCTCTCCTCTCTCTCCCTTTCTCTCTCTCTCTCTCTCTCTCTCTCTCTCTCTCTGTCTCTCTCTCTCTCTCTCTCTCTCTCTCTCTCTCTCTCTCTCTTTCTGGTGATAATCTCCCATCTCTACGGTGAGTATGGCACCTTACTGGATCGGATGAGACTGTAAGATTCATTAGAACGGCGAGGCCCACAGCCATACACACATCGGCGCCGCAAACGCCCGTACGTACTCGGCGGCGGCATCGTGCGAACCCATGACTCATATGAAACACCCAGTGACACCTAGCGGTCGGCCAGACATTGCACTGACGTGGAAGTGACTACAGGCGGCGGCGCCCCACGAACTGCACCATTCCCTTTGCTGACAAACCATCACAGAGGGAACATCTTTGTGCTGCCTGCCGACGATTGCAGATTGCCACTAGGCGCAAATAAGGTGGGTCGTATCCTGCATTTCCGCTGACGCCCTACTGGCCGCCATGACCGACTGGCCCTAGGACAGGGTTGCGCGTCGGCCATTATTGTTCAGGCCAGAGCTCTCCAACGGCCGACAGTATCACCGACCGTATACGCAGTTATGCTCGTGCCCCATTTCAGGGAGATACGATTTATGCTGCCACCAGACTGCTAGCCTCGCATCTTGTTGTGTTCATAGACCTGTCCACGTGCATGACCTAATGTCTCTGTGCACCCAAGGCCAAGCCACCCTGACGCCATCTTGGCGGGAGCGACCAGCAATCGTGTGACCTCTGCCCAGCGATCGCGTGATCGTGACGTCAGCGGTAGGTGTGGACACCTCCAGCGCTGGTGGCGCCGCGGCGGCAGCGACAGCAACTGCTGGTAGCCACGTGGCCGCCAGCGGCGCAGGCGCGGGCGTGTCACGTAACCGTCACTGCGCTGTGAGGCGGCCCGGGTGACTCATCCGCCGTGACGTCAGCTGACCGTGACCGTGGCGTAGCGGCCTTTGGCCCGGCGCCCGGACCGCAGGTCCGCAGCTGATCGGGGGTCGTCTTGCACCGGGTCTGCAGCGGGCCATCTGGGCTGGAGTCAGGTCACTGCTGGCCGTATGCCGCTCTGTGGGTGCTAGAATGACGGCATGCTGCATTGCCGCCACGAGCATGTCCACTGACCGTCACACCTACACCGGAGTCGCAGTGTCGCACTCCCACTGAACTCATCTGTCCGCTGGCAGTGTGTATGGTACTGAGAAGCCTGTCCATCGACGCAGCCTGTATTAAGTCCTGGCACTGACTGACCGGCGCGACTCACCGGCCGGTTGCGATCGGCCACCGTGTGCCCGAGGCGCCGGACGTGCACAGCGGTCAGCGTCCACGCAGGGACGCGGCAGGGGTGTGCACAGATGTCAGTGCACACAGACAGGCCGCCAGCCGGCACCAAGTCCCTACACTGCCCTTCCCGAAGAAAATGAGCCATTGCGCCGCACACCAACACATCATACATTTGGCAATTTCTTTGGCGTCTTTCAGCGGGAAATCACGGCACTGACCCTATGCAGGACGCTGATCGACAGAGGGCGTGAAAGGAGTCGAGACCGAGTCGCGCCAAAAGAAAATTGGTATATGAAGGTTACGCGTACCACCGATTGCCGAGCACGTGCTAATGGCACCTTACTGGATCGGATGAGACTGTAAGATTCATTAGAACGGCGAGGCCCACAGCCATACACACATCGGCGCCGCAAACGCCCGTACGTACTCGGCGGCGGCATCGTGCGAACCCATGACTCATATGAAACACCCAGTGACACCTAGCGGTCGGCCAGACATTGCACTGACGTGGAAGTGACTACAGGCGGCGGCGCCCCACGAACTGCACCATTCCCTTTGCTGACAAACCATCACAGAGGGAACATCTTTCCCCACCTCCTCCCCACTCCCCCACTATTACATTATCTTCCCTCCCAACCCATTGTCTCCTCCTTTCATCAGTCCGTCTCGTCTTTCAGCGGGAAATCACGGCACTGACCCTATGCAGGACGCTGATCGACAGAGGGCGTGAAAGGAGTCGAGACCGAGTCGCGCCAAAAGAAAATTGGTATATGAAGGTTACGCGTACCACCGATTGCCGAGCACGTGCTAATTTGTAAAATTACCGATCTATTCAAATTATGTCACAGCCTTTTCGTTAAGCTCCATTTATACATTTACTGCACTTATTTCCACAGCACAAAAACAAATCACCTACACTATTATCTAATAATCGAGTCTACTTTTCCGCGAAAAGTTTTCGACTAGCGTTACATAATTTCTTTAACACTCTCCATATTTTTTTTTACAGTCCTATACCACCCGATAGGAGTCAGAGCCCTTTGGCAACATCACAACAGGCTCAGGCTCCGCCTCTTTTCGTTTCTCCCCTCTCCCGACCCATTTTATGGTAAGGCCGACGTGATTTCCCCTAGCAACTCTCAGGAAGTTTTTGGCATCAATTCCGCGTGAGATCCACCTCCGGGCCACTTTCGTGCCAGCAGCCATATTGTAACTTAAATTGCTGCCATATTGTGACTGAAATGGCTAACATATCTCAAACTGGCCTCCTTTTAAATGTGTTCGGAGAATCGGAAAGTAGCCAAAATCGATGTGTTGGCATAACGCACGAGTATAATGGCTGAAGCGATAAGTCAATGGACAGAACACTATTTGTGCTCAGTCATTTGTAAATTTCGATTAATGTGTGCCGGGATAAAACCTAACAATTTTATTTTGAGAGTGTAAAAAGTAGAGCATACACTAAAAGGAAATTAGTGTATGCATGTATATATAAAAGAGAAATTATTCATTCCCTATTACACATTTTCTCATTTCTCTGACATATTCCACATTCCTTTAACACATTCACCCGTTCCATTTAAAGCTTTCCCCATTAGTCTCTTAAATACCCTGCACCTCGCAGCAATCCTCCACAATTACCATACACATCTGTTCTGCCGTGCTGTCGGGAAGCCGAGTAATCCAGGGCTTACAGGGGAATTAGAGGCGGATTAATACCGTGTGTTCACGGTCTAAAGGTGGCTTCACACCGGGTCCGCCAGAACACACACAATTGGCGCGTGCGGTGGTTGAAGGAAGCCGAACTTTGGGTCGAGCTGGAAATTCTGTGGCTTTTTAACGATCAGATTTCTTATCGCCTAAGAAAAGGCGTGATAAATCAGCGACAGCTATTGAAGAAGAAAAAGGTTCCCATACGATTCTGAGCTGGGATAAAAGTTACTTGTTAGATAATGATATATCTATGACGGGTCCATTGCCATAACATAGGCATATTGATTATGCATTACGTTTCCTCTCCCGAATATTCTCCGTGCACGTGCCTTCAAAGAATCAGCTATAACGTTCGGTTCATCTAATGCCATTTTCCCCTGAAGATATATGGTCACACTGCTGCCAGATCTTCACCCGTGACATATGTGGCGCACCGCCTTGCCTGGCATCACGCCATATTCGCCGCAAACGGTGGCTGCCAGATTGGAGCAGATGCCTTCCGGTGGAGTTCCTATCCAATGCCAGGAAACCTGGAGAAAATGAACTTTGCATAAAGGTGGCGAGGATAGCACTGATATAGGGAAACGTAGAAAAGAACATACAACACATGGGTGGACGCGTTTCGTCAGATACTTTTTCAACACCCGAATATCTTGAGACAAAACAGTATGAACACACATGGTTGTAACCTATGTGCTGTATGTTTTCTTCTACACTCTCTAAATATTATATATCTATTTGTCTATACATTATTCAATAGGGAAAAGTGTGGATCTTATAGACATAGCGCGAATATTATTTTCCGCACTTGTTGATGAGGTAATAACTCATGAGCATTTGAATGGAAGATAAAACTTATTTCCTCACGCTCTAACAAAAAATAATAATAATGACTCTCGTATTCAGAGACAAGGCATTTCACATGCTAACCTAATCGGTAACTGTGCTATCACCCAACAACGCATTGATGCGTTGTCGAGAGGGAAGTATGCAATGGTATGCACGTTGCACTTTGCTGCAACTGTGCAGTCTGCAACGTGCATAATGTAACAGGGACGTGGTAGGTGGTGGCGTGCCATTTGGTCATGGTTAGTGGGGCTATTGGTGACTGGTGTGTTGGTGGCTGCTGCGTTTGATGACTGCTGGTTTTCTGAAGGACAGGAACCTTCTGCCTTTGGTGAGTATAACTATTTTTGTTGCAAAGCATGTGGAGGTTGGCTTCACATTATTCCCCATAGTTGTGCTCTTTTTTCGGAGACCAGAGGCCTCTTGCACCAAAATCCTCTTGCACCAATGCTTGGATTACTTTGCATCGTATACCCAATCTAAGACTCAAATGTGACAATTTGCGTGTAAAATTTACCAAGCACCTGTAAGATTACGTATTGGCTGTTGCAAACAAATTTACCGCCGTTAGATTAGCTTATTCTGAAACTGGTTTTTCGATTTTACCTAGCTAGGTAGTTTGGTGCAAGAGGCCTCTGAAGCAGTCTAAAATCGCACAAAGTCAATATTTGGTAAAAGATTGTTCAAACACTAGCTTTAAGTTTTTATTGGCAGCTTTCAGAAGCGTTACAGCTTCCTTCGTCTGCCTTGGACATAATTCTTAAAAAGACAGATAAACAGTTCCTCTGTCTATCTTTTTAATCTGTGTTTATCTGTTTTTCTTTTTCAAGAATTCTTTCCAAGACTGACGAAGGAAGCTGCAACGCTTCCGAAAGCTCCCAATAAAAACTTAAAGCTGTTGTTTGAACAGTCTTTTAACAAATTTTGACTTTTTGCTTTTTTAGACAGCTTCCATCGTCAGCCTTGGATATAATTCTTGAAATGACAGATGAACACATCCTCTGTCTATCTTTTTAATCTGTGTTTATCTGTTTTTCTTTTTTAGGAATTCTATCCAAGGCTGACGAAGGAAGCTGTAACGCTTCCGAAAACTCACAATAAAGACTCTAAGCTGTTATTTGAACAGGCTTTTACGAAATGAATCTGTCCCAGCTCAACAGCCACATATATAATCAAAAAAGTCAATAACGTGACATATTTCATTTCTCAACTTTTGTCCGCAGATTCACGCCTTCACTCCTGAAACTTGTGATGAACCCTGCACCAATTTCTCTGAAGCTGGTGATGAAGGTGACGATGCTGGTGTTGATCACAACTGCCGTCCACGCCCTAGAAGAGCCTGATGACGTCACCGCCCGCGAGCAAAGGATTGTGTCTATATTTCTGCCACCCTGTCCGAAAGGGTTCGGCGAAATTAACGGAACGTGCGCTCAGCTTGGTGAGTTAATGAAAAAATTATCATATGAGCAATAAATCAGCCAAATATATCTATGTAATTATCTTTCATTTTAGTTTTTGCTGAGGACACATATAGATGCAAATAATAAACTTGGGCAAATGCAGTTGGCACGTGTTTTGTTTGATTGTCTAATTAATCTCGTCAGTGCTCTTGCTGTTCTTTTGAAGAAAGTTTACCTCAGTGGATTGTATGATGGATACTGTATACCTATGCTGTTTTGCGTGACATCACGATGCGTGCGTAAAAAAAAAACGCGTTTCTCTCTAGCTTCGAACTCGCTGCCACCGAGTTAAAAGACGGCAGCTTTATCCATTGGGTCTCATGGAGATCATTAGTATCGAGTCATTGATCACAACGGCCACGATCATAAATCAGCATGCCATTAATGCCATCAATGCCATCAATTGATGCCATTAATGCCAAAATTAATCGCTTGAGCATTGTGACGTTGTACTGCCAAATGACATTTGCTGCCGTATTTGTTCACCGTAAGTATTAGTCACTGGCTAATGTGTTCCGCATTTTAGTTGGATCATTTAGCTTTATTTCAGGCCTATCAGATAGTTTCTTACTCTCACAACACTTAAAACACACTATTCCCGTGTTTCCAGTATAAACCATGCAAACCTATAAATTTTGTATATACCTTAGTTCTCAATGTGTGCAACAAAAAGGGAACAAATCAACGTTGTTAAGCAATGGATATTTCTTTACCAGTTCCTCCGATTTTGTTTCAGCTGAAGCTGCTGAACTACCTGTTGACCTTCAACTCCATCTTCAGCTTCCGGACCCTTGACCTCCAGAGCGGAGACTCGCCATCATCACATGCCGTTCACTTATGATTTTCCGCCAATAAATGGACCTTGTTGTTTATTTGTCACCTTAAAAGTAGTGTGCCAGCTTTCCAGGACCGTATGTAGTTAATGGCCCAGATAAGGAGAACCGGATTTTTAGAACTTATCCATACCTTCAAAACTCATGGAAACGTCTTAAATTCTTCAAATTTTGAGTACCCCAGTGCGAAATTCGCCCCGACGGATTGTCGGTCGTACCCCAACCACATTTCGTACCACTATGAACAATAAATGCACACACTGAAATCGCTATTACCGGTAGGCTCATCCAACCAAGTTTCGATAAACCCGTTCATCATCATCTCCTGCGGCTTCGAACACGCCTGATAGGTGGTGCGGTAGACCGCACCCAAAGCCAGGGCCCCGGTAACGTGAGGTAGCCGAGTCGGGGCAGCGTGCGCTGACCCAAGCCGGGGCCGCGCGTCCTCCCGGTGTCATGTGATAGCCCGGGGCTGCCCGCGGGGATGCGGTAGACCGCGCCCAAAGCCGCGGCCCCGGCTTGGGTCAGCGCTCGCTGCCCCGACTCGGCTACCTCACGTTACCGGGGCCCTGGCTTTGGGCGCGGCTTCTGCTCATACTTTGTGGTGCGGTGGTGGTGCGTCGGGCCGCGCGCTCTGACTTCGGCCAAGAAAAATGCGTCAGCTGATCACTGTTATTTCTGCCACTTTCATGTGGTGAGATGGGGTCATAACTTTAGAGACGGCTGTTTCATATCAGTTATTTTACATAAAATAATATTTCAAACCATAAATCAATGTTCGACAGCCAAATTAAAGAAACAATACCAATACAGGCTTACAGTTTAACCCTCGCCGGACCTATTGGTTTTCTACATACGCGCCGGCCGAGGGGGGGGGGGGTACGACCCCCCTCGCCGTTTCGCCCCTGGTGGAGCTAGCGCGTCGCGGAAAAAACGAGCGTGTGCGCCGTTACGAGACGCAGAGATTGGTACCCGATTTTAAGGTCCTAGGTCAACCGGTGACCTCTGAGGTCAGGTCAAGTGCCCCAAGGTACGGTTCAGTTTTTGGTGAATAACTTCGCAAAAAACGGCCGCAGAGCCGCGATTTTGGCAGCATCGTGTTCGCCTCGCTCAGGCGCGTCGAATGATATACTTTTTGTCTGGGTCAGGTCAACTTGGGGTGTTGACCTCAGGACAAGGTCAGGTCAGCACCCCCAGGTCACGAAGTTGGTCGAAAGAGGTCATTTCGCATATCATTCGATTCGGTAGGTCTTCCTGAGTCCATTGGTGGCTTTCCCGACTCGCTAGCTCAATTTGATCAGGAGTTATTGACGAAAAACTAATGTGACCTTGATGACGTCATAGATGACGTCACGCAAGGTCAACATTGCAAAAGTGACGCATCTAACCTTGCAAGGAGTGCATAAAATCACGATTCTGTGTGCTTGAAATAGTTGGAGATCGTTCCCGGCGCCAGAATAGCAGTTTTCATTTTTCCCCATTGACTTATAATGGTGAGGTCACGAAAATGACCTGACCTCATATGACCTTTAGGAAAAATCCGAGATATACAAGTTGTGAGACTCATAATGGATATTAGATCCTGCAAGTTTCATTTCCCTGTGACATCTCCTCTGGCAGTGAGGGCGTTGCGAAGTTGCGACATCTGGAGACCGTGCAGAGGTTCACTTATGACGTCATAGGTCAGTGACCTGACCTGACCCAAAAATGCGGTTGGTGTCAAAAGATGCGGCTTGGATCAAAGGTCAGGTATGCCAAGTTTCAGCTCTCTATCGGCAGCGTGTTTGGAGCTATCGCGAAAAAACTCTATGGGGGGGCGGCACCCGCCCCCCCCCCCTCGGCCGGCGAGGGTTAAATTCGACATTGTGTTGTCTACGATTAGACAGCTGATAACTCATTCCCGTACGTCGTAACTCTATAATGACCTTTGCTTATTGTCACATGTGCGCCGCATTCGCGATTGTTGCCGACGCCTGTTTGCAGGTCAGCCCACTACAGTTGTTATACATATCGAAAAACCGATAAACTTTTAGGCGAAAAAAGCACTATTTTAGGCCCATTTTTGATTTTTTTTGCGATATTAGGTAAAAACAGAAGCTTCTTATCCTAGGAAAAAATAACATGGGAAATCATTGGAAGGTGGCACACTACCTTTAAACAGCCAACGTGTTCATGCATTTCTGTAGCATTGTATCACTGATTTTTTACTTTGATATTACGACACCCATCTGTTATTTTGAACTCATGACATACAATCTGACTTCCCACCAATGGTTTTAATCAGTGGCTTCAAATTATCACTTAGAGCTTGCTTTCCACCTTTGCGTGTTCCAGCGTTGGTTTCCCACAAAAGTAATCAGACTCAGAGATCGCTTATTTACTACTTGTGCTGAATTCACGTCACAGGTTCAAGCAAGCTTATCGCTTATAAAGACTCCGGCAATGCAGCCTCTGTACCGATTTCGCCGAATCTTAGTAAGGAACTGAAAGCGGACCAACTCGCTGCTTTCTTGTCCACTGGAAAGCACCTCCACACTGCACAAATGTCCAGCTAGCCAGTTCCATTGAGAAATATGAGACGTTATGTAGTCAAGCCATGAATACTTCAGTAGGAAACGCATCCGCGTCAATTCTAATATAGCCTATTTGGGTACTATTCTTAGCTTCAGCACGCACTCTCATTTCAAAAAGCTGTCAACGGCGTTGAGTCGAATTTGAACATTTGCCTCCAAATCGTTCCCGTAATAAAAAGTACAATACCAAAACATCCATAAAAAGACCTGAGCCCTAAGGATCCAACACTTTACCGGAATTTCAAAATCTTTCGAACGCCCTTTCATTGTAAGTTACACAGGAGCTTCAAACCATGTTATGCAAGTGATGCAACCTATTACCAGCAGCGGCGGAACACCTTCAATTAACCCTCGCCCGTAAACGGTGTTTTGCCACCTTCGCCCATGCAGGGGGGGGGGGGTGCGACCCCCTGGCGTTTGAAAACGGAGCGTCGTAGAGCTTCGCGGAAAATACCAACGGATTGCTCTCAATAAGATCTCGCGATTGGTGGTATATTTTTTGGTCCTAGGTCAACATTTGACCTACTTATGACCGGTCAAAGGTCAAATTTTCGGAAAAATCTAACTTTTTCAGAGTTCCGCGCCGATTGCGGCAAAACGGTTGGAGATATCGACTTGAAACCTTCACGATCGTGATCCTTGATCAATTCTCTATCGTTTGGTGTGTATTTCGATGTCATAACTCTAAAAATGATGCGTTGGGAGCATCGGAAGTCTGCAAGGTCATTTGTGCATTGGGTCACGTCAGGCGTGTGACGTCACTGACCTGACCCTGACCCAAAATGAACTACAAGAAACAACCGACGATGCCTGAAATGGATAGCAAATTCGAATTCAGGGCATCAAAATACCCCGAAAAGGCATACAAGTGCAAGAAGTCATTACAGGTCAACCGAGGTCACTGACCTTACCTTGACCTTAAGTAGCCTTCAAAATGTCAACAGACATTGTGCCAACGTCAAATCAGCCAGTTGTGATTCTAAAACAATCCATCAGTGTGTCAGGTCAGTCGGGATTTATACCAATGTGAAGCAATCTCCAATTTAGCGTAAATCTGGCCGGAGGTTGTTCCCTTTATGACGTCATTACTCCGTGACCTGACATGACCTTGACAAAAAATACCAAAAGTTGCGCAAAGGATGCTCCAAAGGGTACTGAAAATTTGAGCAGGATATCTGAAGCCGTTCGGCGTGTAGCTAAGAAAAACCTCAGGGGGGGGGGGTTGCACCAACCCCCTCTACATGGGCGAGGGTTAAGGGGGGCACTGCCGACTTTTGGTCTCATTCTTTCCATGCAACGCCCATAGGGCTAATGATAAAATGCCCAATTCAAAGGGGGGCACGGTGCCCCGGTGCCCTCCCCGTTCCGCCGCCTATGCCTATTACTAGCTGACCCCTAAACCTCTCCTTACGTACCACCTTCAGCCCAGAAGATACTTTTTCTTGCTAAAGCGCTGAGCAATCTCCCAACCATCTCAGCTAAAGACGTGGAGCCTCAATGATAACAAAACAACATGAACATCCTGACATTCAAACACAAACATTTCTCTCAATACATCACTTCACACGTGAAGCCATCACGTAACGCTCTCTGTTGATATTATAACACACATCAGTCTGCGCAAGGCTTGATATAAGTTTGTGTATTTTTCTGAAGGAGGCGACCCACTAAACATGGCTGCAGCAGCTATCTACAAGATGATTCCTCATCGTCAGCTTGAAGAGCAGTTGTTTGACCTGTGGTTGGGTTTGTCAGGTGATCTTTTCTATCGCCGTAAACTGACAAGCATAAGCAGAATAACAAATAAAGCGTGGTGGACTGCGACACTGCACTAAACAGCCTCTTGTTACATTGATGATGGCCTGGGTTTGATGGAATCGTTTGCGATGCTGACTCGCTAGAGTGACCGAGATGCAGTGTTTTAGGCCGCGATGTTGTGCTTAACACATACGGAAACGATTTCGGGTTGAGTATACAATGAGCTGACATCGCGTGCGTTTGCTTTCTACATGAATAATAAATACATGACTGGGTGAAATGATGTAAAGGTGATTTGAATTTCAGAGGCAGCAGATTTACTGATTGTGTTATACGCGTCAATCCATAATTACACCGAGAGCCTGGCAAGGCATTTGCGTTACTTATTGATAGATTTGCCGCAAATATGTATTGGCACTCCTATTGAGTCTACCAAAATACCTGACAGCTATTATGCATATTTTGTAACATGTGTGGTGTACTCCAACACCAAAAACGGAATTCCTAAGTTACCAGCCGCACATGTTTGTTGTTACCAACAGTCGCACTGTATCCCTCCCTCCCCTCCCCTTGCCCACTGTCACAGCAATGGGTGACCTTGACCCCATTAACCCTCTCCCCCCCCCACACACACACATGCTCGCCGGCCCAGGAAGACATCTGACTTCCAAGAACTCGCAGCAGTTTCCGCG